CCCCAAAACCCCAAAACCCCAAAACCCCAAAACCCCAAAACCCCAAAACCCCTAAAGACATATCGGTGATTGGATTCTCTAAATATGGGTGAAGAAGACCTAATTTATGATTAGTTCATTTCCCCCTATGATTCAGATGCCATTTTAAAGCTAACTGAGACAGCTAGGCCTTTATTAAAGCGCAACATAGTATCAATTTCCATAATTATAAGCAACTATAAAGGATACTTAACTCAGATTCACCCATCAGAGGAATGTTATATAAAAGTGAATGAAAATTTCATCAGTTTTCATGAACTGAGATTTTCCTTTCTAACTTCTTTTATATCCGGCTAGCCATACAATATGTTTTCATTTACAAAGAATGCACTAATCTTTGTTACTTATAAAGAAGTCAACATGCTAAGAAGGTTATGTAATAAAATTGTTGAGATATCTTATTCTAGAACCTCATGGGCTATCGTCCGAAAGTAGACAGAGGTATAGTTGTTATTACCAGAAGAATAAAAAGTGAAAATTATATTGTGTAAGCCATCTCTCTTGACATGAAATCTTATATTATTTACAAAAACTAGCAATAATAAAAATTTAATAGCTAAACTTCCCTTTCAAAGGGGAATTCATAGAGGATCCGGTCAGATTTTTTGAAGAAAGTTTCCAAGACTAGTTTGGAAGTAATTTTATTCTCAAATGAAAGATGAATTTATCAAGAATTGAGAATGAGCTATCACAATTCTTGGAATAACTCATTCTTCATTCTAAAATAGTTTACTGTATTAATAGTTGAATTGACCGCATCCAAAGTAGTTATCGTCTATGCTTTTGAAATGTCTATCTGGATTGAACATCCCTTCTGTTTCTATACAACTCCATTATTTATGTTGCAGAAATAAATTACCTGAATTGTATATAAAACCAAACGAGTTGTCGTTGTCTATCATATCTCCTGAATCGAAGCAAAACTCTACTTTTTCATTTGAAATATCTTCCTTGAAGCCCCATGATGGGTTTGATTCTTTTAATAAATGGGGAACAGCGGGAGATCTGGTAACATTAGTCAAATCAGAACAGTATCTATCTCTTTTCATCTTCTTTTGAGGAGCAAAGAAACCCTCAGTCTCTTCTTTTTGAGATTCGTGGATTTCGTTATCTTGAATGTTTTTATCAATATTCTCTACTTCAACTGTCTTTCTACGTTTCATCACATTCTCTCTCGGATTATAATCTGGTAGTGGGCCACACTCCCTTTCACATTCCTGGTCTAATAGTGCAATTTTATGGTTCAGATCTTCATCTCATAAAGCAAGTAAGTGAGCATCTGAGTTGTCATACTTGCAGTATCCTCCAAATTCATCGATGGTTGGGACCCTTTTAAGGTTTGGATTTTTCTTAACCTTCTTCTTTTGATCCCAACCCCATTTATAGATCTGGACATATTCCAAATTAGAATTGTCTTTGATGAAATCCACTGTTTCCTGGTTCCATTCAGGATCCTTTGAAAAAGCTTTCTCTAGCAGATTTATCTCATCTGCAGTTTTCCTCCTTCTTACCTTTGAAGACCTCTCCTTTTGGGATTTGCGATTCAATGGATTCTAAACATAGGTATTATGATGTCAAAATTAATTTGAACCAGAAAGTACACCAATTCGTTGGGGGAAAGTAGTACCTTAGTATGAGCAGACTTCATTGCTACCTCTGGAATTTTTATGGTTGACTTGATAGTTCAGGCACCTAGTCACTCCTCATCCAGAGTCTTTGTTCTTCTCTTGTCGCTCCTTTTTTTGGAAACAGTAGACATTTTATACCTAGAAATGAAGTCAGTATATAGAATATGCAGATTCAGAGGAAGAATCTTGGTGATCTCAATTGTATTGGCTTCAATGAAATATATAACACTTCACTATTAAACCCTTTGAAAAATGCTCACACAAAAGCTGAAGACAAATTGTGGGTTCAATGAGGTTAGAACTTACGTGTTTCCTCTAAAGGCTTGGTTGAGTTCATTCTCAATACTTTGAACTCTAAGTTGTTGGCCAGTTCTGACAGTAGCAGAGGTCTTCACTTTCATTTTTAATAATAATTTATTATTTTGTAATACAATAATAGGATGAATAAAGGGGTTTTGGGGTTTTGGGGTTTTGGGGTTTTGGGGTTTTGGGG